TCTTGGTCAGTTATGCTGCTTATATCTGTTTTGACCAATTCTTTAACTGTCACTTCTTTCTAGAATTTCTTTAGAGGAGAGTTCTTCTGTGTCATCATTTTGGCTAGTTTTCTGTCTCTTATATGTTTGAAAAGCTTGTTATGCACTCTGCACCTGCAAGTACTGCTATATTAAAGGAGGCTCATAGACTGTCCAGGGCCTGTCTGTTCAGGATGTTTCTTTTAATGGTGTCCCTTGGTCTCTCTTGTTGTGACTTTGGTTATTTTATTTCCCTATTCATAATGATATTTGGGACTCTCTACTCTGTGCACTCTGGCTTGTTTCTTGAGGTAGCCTTGGACATCAGGGTGTATGCAGTGCTGATGGAAGAGCATATACATACAAAGAGAGAAATGACAGGGCTTGGAGAAAGTGAAATTGAACAATGATCAGGCAGAGAGACTAAGAGGCTTTTTCAGAGAGAAAGAGGAGAATATGGTAAGAGGCAAGGAGAATGAAATCAAGATAACGTTACTCAGAGAAACTATATAGTCTGATTATTCCAAAGAGAGACAGATAGAAAGGTGGTGATGGAGGTGTAGAATATACATCTAGAGAAAGGATTAAATGTTACTGTTTAAGCAAACCAATGACCAGAATGCCCAGTACAGCAGAGGGGAGGGAGGGATACGAATGAGACAAGGGAAAATATATCTGAATAGAAACAATTGATCATGGCAGTGCATCCATGTTGGTCTTTCCCTGGGCGCCGGTAAAAAAAATCACAGCTCTCTAAGGGGGATGAGCGTGGTTTGGTGTAGGCACTGTGTCCCACGGGCCATTTCCTGAGGTCCCACCTTGGTGGTTGTGGGGAGAAAAATGGCAGCGCCCCAGTCCCTTCTTGAATCAAACATTGCAAATCACTCTTTTGGGTCCAATCTCACTGCGTCACAAGCATAGCCAAGGTGGGCCATGCTCTATGTCCCACACCTCGTTTCTAGATCTTAGGCTGTGCGCTTTATTGATACCATACGAAATATAAACCTGTAGGCCGAATCCTTCCAAGCAGTTTCAAGCCGGCTGCTTCCCCACTGGGGATCGAGCGGAGAGGTTTCAGGCTGTGCTGCTTCCCCTCCGGATCGAGCTGGAGAACAGAGAAACAGTTTCTCCTGTTGCCACCAGGGACAGGGGCGTCTAGCTCAAAGTCAGCTCCACAGCTGGAAACCGGATCATTCTCTGTCCCAAGCCAAGGTTTTCTCTTCTCCAGGGACAGGGACAGTTCTTTGAGGAGTTTCAGCTGGTCTTTCTTTTCCCTCCTACTCACTGCGGCTCCCCACAAAGGGGACTTCATCGCCTCCCTCAGTGACTCTGGGTCCCCGCCCATTTTTATCTTCCCCAGTTCACACTCATGCACCTCTAAGGTTGTTTTCTCAGTGGACTCTGTCTCCTTTTCCTCCCAAACTCCTGCGATTCTATAAGGGTTCCTATGGCTTTAGGCCTTCTCTGTTTGAGAGATGGGGGTGAGTGAAATGTACGGAGCTCCCTACTTCTCCGCCATCTTGCCTCCTCCTTTCCTTTGGTATTTTCTTATGCTCTTACTGCTTGCCCTGGTTTTCTGAAACCTTTCATTCTGCAAATTTTAATTCTGAATAGTCTTCTCTCTTTCTTATTTGAAATAGGTCATCCACACATCCATATGTGTATTATATATATATGTATTATATATGTTATTATATATAATAACATCACATCTATAGTGTGTGACAAGCCTCCTTGCGTAGAGACTAGCCCTGATAGACTTAGTTTTTTTTTTTAATAGTTTAGCACATTTAGCATAGAGCATGGTCTTTGCATGGAGGCACCAGTATGAACTTTTCGGTGGGACCAGCTAGACTGTGGCAAGGCCAGGCCAACAACTTTTGCTAGAAACTGAGTCTTCTGTGCATGTGGAGGAAAGCATGTGTGTATGATACAAGGTCTCTAAGACGTCTGAGGCCACAGCAGTAACTCTCCTCCTCTGTGTCTGCCAACAGGTACAAGTCAGCAGTGGTGGCTGCCAGCATCATCAGGCGCTCCCACCCCTGATCCCAGAGGCTGGTGGGCTAGATCGACCACATCCTCCAGATAGGGGGTGCGGCCCACCTCAAGCCCCATGCCCTGCAGCAGCTGTGGCACGAGCAGTACCTGTTGGATGTGGTTTTGTTCCTGCTGGTGGTCACCCTGGGCACCCTGTGGCTCTGTGGGAAGCTGCTGGGCATTATGGCCAGGTGGCTGTGTGGGGCCAGGAAGCTGAAGAAGGCCTGATGGGGGCAGCCTTGATGGGTGTTTGGGGAGCCACTGGTTCTAGAAGGCTTCCCCCAGCACAGGACAGCCCTGGTGTCATCCCCATATTGGCACTTGATGGTGGCACACAAATTGCTCTTCACTATTTTCTGCCTCTGTTTACAAATTCTTCTGAAACACTCTTGGGCATATATTTTTTTTAATTGTGGTAAAATGTACAACACATAAAACTGACCATTTTAGCCATTAAGGATAGAGTTTAGTGGCATTAGGCATTCTTATTGTGGTGGAAACATTACTATCATCCAGTTCCAAAAGTTCTCATCTTCCTTAACTCACACTTCATTGATGAAATAATAACTCCCATACCACCCACATCCCCACCCTGAAGCTCTTAGCAACCTCTGTTCTACTTTCTGTGTCTGTGAATTTGATCTCAGCTTCTTGACTTGCCCCTCATCAATGGACTCCTCACTCAACCCAACCCTTCAGCAGACAGCCTCACCTTCCTCTGCACTCTGCACTCCCTGTCTCTAGACACAGCTCCCTGCTTACTTCATCCTATTGTTCCCTATAAAGGCGATATGTACAATACTACCTTCAAAGGCTGAGGAAGCCATGAGACTGAACAAAGAGGCCAACAAGTCCAGCTTGATGAGAAATGGTTTATTAAGGGGACGTATGGACAGAAAGTTGTCTTGAGCTACCACAAGATAAGTCAATCTCCACAACCCCACTTTGCAATAGACCTGCTTTTATGGCCCTATTGCTGAGGAGTACTTGCTTGGGGACTTCCCAGAAAGACTTATGTCCTGAGCAGATCAAGGAAGCTTTGCCTGGAGGGTGTATTCACAGGTGTGGTTAGACAAAAGAGAAGAATGAGGGGAGAGGCTGTATTCAAGAGGCTTTAGGTCACAAAGCAGTCATCATGGTGAAATTTCTCAAGATGGCATTAGTCTGGTTCATATACTCACTATCTCAGAAACTTCTTCATCTCTTTCCCTTTTTCTGTTCTTTCACTGTTCATGATGATATAAGATATTGGCCAGTTCTTCCATTTTGGGTCTTCCTCTTGCATCTCCTTCTCATCTCACCTCCAAGCTCAGGAAGCCTGGCCTCTGTCCTTCAGTTAGGGAGGTGTGGCTCTCCCAGGATTCCACCTGTGCTCTCTCTTCTGAGTCAGTCTTGGGAGAACACATCCTTTTATGGTCAGACCTGGAGCCTGTCTTTGGCCACAGCTGATGCTGTGTTTTTCACTTCCCACAATTTCTTTCTCAAGTTTCCTAGTGTTAAAAATGTAGTCATGGAGGGATGCTTTGGTGAGTAGGTCCGTTAAGTGTCCAGCTTCAGCTCAGGTCATGATCATGCATTTAGGGAGTTTGAGCCCCACATCGGGCTCTGTGGTGATAGCTCAGATTGGAGCCTACTTCAGATTCAGTGTCTCCCTCTCTTTGCTCCTTTCCCACTCACACTGTGTCTATCTCTGTCTCAAAAATAAACAAACATTTAAAAATGTAAAAAATGTAATCATGCATACCTCTAGTAAGGAGCCTAGACCTCCTCATAAAGCTCTGGGTCCTCAGGTCTAGTGACTATGGCAGCTCCGAGGATCTTGTTGATTTGAAAAAAATCATTAATTTGCCAGTACAACCATAGTAACTGAATACACAAGAAATATAAAAGATGATCAAATGAATGAGTAAAATTTAATGAGGAACAGAATATTTACACAGTTTCAAATTGTCTCCCCACGAGGAGGGGGCAGGATGGAGAAGTAAGGAGCTCCGTACTTGCACTCGCGCCCATACATCACACAGAAAAGATCTG